GAATAATGACACATCTGGACTAAGGATTAATTTAATCTTTGCTAAAAAAATAAACCATGCCTCTGCATGGACACAAAGTAAGACATTTTTTTGCGTGCAAGTTTGTAAAAGCAGGCTACCTCACACAATATGCAGATGACTTACTATACTATTGGGGCCCAGAGTATAAAGGCCCCAAAGGTGATAGAGAATGCATCTCCAGTAATAGTCACATAATATTATGATCTCGCCCAGGGCATCAGTACTTACACTTTCTAGATCATCAGTGGGTCTACATGGTCACAGTCCCTGCTGTAATACAGACATATTTTATGCTGCTGAGGTCAGCTATTGACCTCCAGGGTATCAAAGACCTTGAAGTGTCTGCTAGAGAAAATGCGTTTGAACAAGCCTAATAAGCAACTGCTATGCACCACCCTGTGTGCTTATTCACCGGATCCTTGAACACGCTGATGAATATGTAAAATACTATGTGAGTGCATTCAATTGAAGGCCTGTTGAACGTTGATTGACTTCCTATGTGCGGGCCAGAATAATGACATGGGTGATATTTCCTCAGTGTCTTGACACCATTGCATGTCTTTGACCGGAAAGCTTTAGGGATACTTGAAAAAGCTGACTGCACAGTGTTGTTTGACATTTAGAAGTGCTGACTTCTCACATCTAGGGGGGATTCGGCCAGAAAATTTAAATCGTCCCTGAACTTGGACAGGGGGTTCTTTGATTCGCGAAACATCAGATCACTAAAGATCTGTCAACACCAGCCGAGAAGCTCTCCGGCTAGAGATTTCAGCCCTACATGTGTGATTAAAAGCAAATCACTTCTCCCGAATGCTCATCCCGGTCCTCTCTGCCGCTAATTCGACACAACACTTGAAAAAGCCGCCGCAAACGCATCTCCAGTACACTCAGCACCCCACTGGAGAATGAATGGGCTCTCTCTTTTGACAGATCATCTAGTGCACAGGGCTAGATGAATCTCGCGCATGCAGTACAGTAATAGCCTAACAGATGATGGTTCTTGGCACAGCCTGAGGAGTGGAGGGGTGTAAGACAGTCCCTTATGTCACATGGGAGAAAGAGAGGGAAAGAGAAGGAGGGAGTAGAGGAGTGCTGCAGTGCATTGGTGGTGTGCTGTCTCTTTAACTATGGCCATGCTTGACAGGAGCTGCTGTATCAAACTACTGTAAAATCGACAAGGCCAGGGATAGCTCAGTGGCTGGCTGCTTGCTTCCATAGTGTCCATCTGCACTCATGGATACAGCCATTGTACAGAAGGGAAAAGAGAGAGAGAGACAGAGAGAAGAGAGACAGTGAGGGGGTAGGAGAGCATGTGTGTGTAGTATATGTGTGTGTGTGGGTGGTTCAGCATGAGGGGGGTCGACCACAGCGGAGGAGAGAGAGAAAGAGAGAAAAGAAAAGAAGGAGAAAGAGATAGACTGAAAGGAGGTGTGAGTTTAAGAGAGCGAATGAGGGAGGAAAAAGATTTAGCCAAGATAGGAAGGCCCATCTCTGCTGCTGCTGCCTGCCTCCCACTAACTGCCTGTTCATGTGAGCCGGTACTTGGCATGACTGCAAATGGCTTGCCTGGTACATTAGCTTAACACACTCGTCAATGTGGGCTCAAATACATCTGCAAGATCGCTGAGGTTTTTTTTTTTTTTTTCTCCCCCTCTCTCCCCATCATGTGGATCTATATCTCATCGCAAATCAATGTCACACTAATATCAGTCGGCTTACCACATATTTTATCTGTAGATGTTGAGTCACTGTGCGGCAATAAATATCACACAGTGTTACATAATCTCTTTGAGTAACCATGGAGCTTCTAATGTATAGGTGGACAGGGGAGATGGAGAGTATCTGTCAAGAGTGTACTGAGCTGGTTGGCCAAAATACAAACTTGTGCTTGCAACTGACGCACATTTTCGTAGATTATTATTGATTGTTTTACAATTAATTATTTAGTCTGTAAAAAAAAAAAAAATCAGAAAATTTCCAAAAACCCAAGGTGTCATGTTCAAAAGACTTATCCTGCCCAATCAACAGCCCAAAAAGATATTCAATTAATTATGTGATAGAAAGTGAGAAAACCAACAAAGTCTCACAATTTAGCAAATGTTTCTACTTTTAAGTCAGTCGGCACGCCCCCACTTTGGAGAAGCAGACTGGGGTACGACATGGAAGCTAAGCGATGTACTGCCGTGAAGGGGTTCAGCGATAAAATGTATTTTAGCCACCTAAAAAACTCAATATCATTTCACCGCTTTACCTTTACCATTTTTACATCACACAGCCGTTGTGACGGGAAAGATATTAGCGTCTTCAGTTCCCTGTCTATGCTCTCGTTAAAGCCACCAGACTCCATTGACAAAACAGTCATTTTAGCTTGCTGAAAGCAGGAGCTGCTGGTGTATCACTGCCTCAATCAGCAAGTTAGTTTTTGTTATTGTGTGACTTTGGTGAACCCGAACTAATTCTTTAAAATGCCAAAGTCACACAGTAACACACACAACCTAACTGACTGAGGCGGTGGTAGACCAGCAGCTCCCGTGTTGAAGGATGTTAAATCACTGTCTTTCTCAATGGAGTCTGGCTGTGAAGAGAGCAATATAATGGCTTCATTTTCCCACCAGGAATCGCTGTGTGATGGTAAGGTAAAGCAGTGAAAGTACACTAAAAGTAGCATACCCTTAAAGTGATACTGAATTTTTGGGGTAGGACTTTATTTAGGTGGCAAAAATACATTTTGTTGCTGCGCCCATCCACAGCAGTGTATTGCTTAGCTTCCGTGTCGGACTCAAGCCTGCTTCTCCACACTGGGGGCATGCCGACTGACATCAACTGTGCGTAATAAACTGTCTAAGTATAAGTAGCCCATACAACCCCACTTAAAAAAAGTCTTTACTAACCTTTAATATTTAAGGAGCATGTATGGGAACTGTTGGATTTTACAATATAAATACTATACAGTACATAATGCTGGATAATAAACAGGTTTGCTGGTGTCATCTTGATTGAACGTACAATATTAAATACTACTGATGCACTTATGAAGTTAAAACTGTAAAAACTAACAGCAGATTGATGCATCCCCATATTGACATGCCTCACAATGCAGCTTACGACTAAACCCTCAGCAGTTGTACCAAATTGGATACGACTAAACACTGCTTAGCTCCGAAAACAATGTCTAAAATGAAATGCCACTGTGCGATCACAGAGAAAGAGTACTCAGTGCCATCGCTGGCAGGTTTTGAAGGTGCAGCACTGTGCTCACAATTTCCTGGCAATGACTCCCAGAGTGGGCTTGCACACACACACACGCACACACACACACACACACACAAACACAGGCAGAGCATCTCACCAACATTATGCAACCAACTTCTATAGCTGCACTTGCACAAGAGGGCATTTTGGCCATTATCTGCTTTGCTTGGAGGGAATAAAAAAGCAGAGTGAAAAGGAGCCGAGCGGGCTGCCACAGTTAAATTTGGTCTCTCTTTTCATGTGTAGCTCTGATGATGACTCCGGGGTCACGGTGAAGTCCGGGAGCTGAGAGTTGGAGTTTTTCAGGTCGAGATTAGTCTCCATTTTGGAGGCACCCGTATTGTTCTACAAGGGGTTACAGGTCTGTGAGTGTGTGCTTGGATCCACACATGAACCATCACTCTCTCCCTCACCCTAACAGTCACATGCAGCACACCTCCACTCTCTCCTGAACCCACACACTGACTACACGCCACTCATTTGCTCCCTCTCCCTCTGTCACACACACTCACATCTACTCACACACATCCAGATCCTCCTCATCTCTACAGTTTTTTTGGCAACTAAGCCTCTTTGATAACAGGTACTCACACAAACCACGACACCCCCAATCCTTCACGGTTCTTCCAAACTTTGCGCTGGGCGTTCCATCTCATTCCGGTCTCACTCTGGCCATCATGTTTGAGCACCTTGCTTGTTTTTCCCCCCAAAATTAGCCCCTCTAATCACACACGCACACACTGCAAATTGAACGTTTCGACTGGATAGATTTGAGGCAGCTCACTGCAGCACGCCTGCTCACATATAGCATTAGTCACAGTTGCAGTGCAATGATACCAAGGGGAATCTGTCTTTACCGTACACTGAGGCGCCTTTCACCCACTCACACTCGAGTATGGGGGAATTAAAGACCAGCAAGAATGAAGTAGCCTTTCATTCTGGTCATCTACATATTTTATTAGGCCAAAGTTTTTCCACACACAGAGGCAGGACACGGTCCATTCAGGATATTGATGAAATCATAAATATGTTTCACAAGATATTACACTATAAAATAGGAATATTCCATAGGAGACATTACGAGCACACTCAAAACTCCTTACACTACATTGAGAGTGCCTATAGGAATATGATTAGCATTTCACACCAAAGAATAGAACAAAACAATCAAGTATGATATGAGCAGTATAAACTTCATAACATCACATCAGACAAGTGTCATCTTGTCTCTTTAAACTCCCCATAAGTACCATACACCCTATAACACCAGAGGATTATTAGAGGAATATTTTATGAATATTACAGCAGTTTTTCCCATCACCGCTGTGTGGCTGCTCTCAAACGGAGGAATGCACTTGCAAGAGTAGACCGTGTGACACCAGTACACATGCATACCTTATTACAATACTATAACTGCCGCATGCACAGGTCCATACGGACACACGCTGCGCTGGATCCGTGTGTGTGTGCGTGTTTGTGCGTGCCTGTGTGGGCATCTATCTAGAAGGCACTCTAGGCTATTTCTATGCACCTGTCGGCTATGGTGCTTTTAGATATGCCTATTGCATATGATAGTGTCAGAGAGACAGAGGGAGAGGAGAGGGACAGAGAGAGAGAGAGAGGGAGAGGAGAGAGAGAGGAAGAGGATGGTGAGGAACGGGGGAGGAGGACAGAAAAGAAAGATGCGGTGGATGACAAAAAAATATAAAATATCTGCTCTGTCTTACCTTGAAAGGGAACATAGGACATGTTCCAACGGCATTGAACGTAGGCTTTGCGTCTCGGCGGTCTCTCGGTGCTCAGAAGTAACGGGGAACCAAATTAGAAATAAATCTGAAAAATAAAAATAATTTAAAAAAAAAAACACGCAATGTAGTGCTATTCACAGTTGGAGCCGAAGGAGAGGCCAATATTCCGCTGTTATAAAAACTGGCATCATAATCCACGACCGCTTATAAAGCGCGCGGTTCCCGGTGCATAAAAAAATACAGGATGCAGAAATACGTGTATGTGTGTGTGTGCGTGTGTGTATGTGTGTGTGTTTGTTTGCACGCTGCTGTTGAGGTGTGAGGGTGAAACACGAGTGAGTGTGTGTATGTGTGTGTGTGTGGTGTGTGTGTGAGTGAGTGAGAGAGGAAGAGAGGGAGAGAGAGAAGGGGGTGGAGGACTGAGCACGCGCACAAGCGCATGTGTGCGTGTTTCCTTGTGTGTGGGCGCGCACGTTTCCCAATATCTATAACCTATCTTTAGCCTATGCATTTTACATTTTGTGCTCGCCTGTTGGAAAAGAAGAAAAGATATTATAATAATAATGTTGCAGTGAGTGTAAATTCACTGTACTGCTTCAGGCTACACTATAGTGGCTTCAGTACAGTGTGCGTGCGTGTGTGTGTGTGTGTGTGTGTGTGTGTTTGCAATGCCCCAAAGGTAGCTTATGACTTGCATACCGTAATTTACTTACTCTAGTGAAAATACACGTTAATACTTCTTATGCAACCTGTTCTGCAGGCTGCAAATTAAAACAGGAAGTAAGATTTATTTATATTACTTAATAATTTAGGAGAATTTATGATTATATGTCTCTGTGGCAGCACTGTAATGTTTTAATTACTACATTTGATTAAGCCCACAGGTTAGCTTCCATATATTTAGGCTATTAAACAACTGATGTTTTGGCTTTTACAACTTTTCCTTACAAACCTGTTGAAATCAATCTAATTAAAAGCTTCCCTGGCAGCCATTACTAATATCAGAAACTGCTAATAAATAATTCTGACGTTAAAAGACGGATTCAACTTGACTACAACTACCGTAATTCACTTGTTTCTAATAGAAAAAAAAAAATCATGCGACGCTGGATTTGCGATACACATGACTAAACAGGAACTGCATCAAGGTGAGAAGCTGCGGAGCCAAAATGGCGCCCAGAGATGGAGTGTGGTGCCTTGAGGTGACGTGGGAGAAATAGCAATTTCCGGTTAAGCTAATTGGAAATACAAACGAGCGTTAGGCTATTAACATTAGCTTAATACTGGAAATGCTAATGCTAGCGTGTATGCGTCGTTTGGTTGTGATGTGTGGGGTTTGAAAGTGAAAACATATCTAAGAACTGTCGGTTTTTCTTTTTTAAATCTAACTGTCACAAGTACTGACGCTGAATTGACGTCAGCTACATAACTTTAGGCTAATTTTAGCTAACTTTCGGTTAATTTACAGGTACTTACATGTCTGCCAGGCATTTGTCTTCCTTCTGTTCTTGCTCCAGAGACATGGCACTTGTGTTTTAGTCTATTCCCAACTCCCAACAACAAACCGAACCAGAGTTTTAGGCGTTGTTTGAACCAGAGTCACTCCAACAGGTGTAGGCTATCATCACTTCAGCGCAGCCCACAGCCACAGAGACAACTGAAGGCAGCACAGTGCATCGCCTGCCTGTGGTTTAAAGGTTGAGCTGTGGCCGCCACCTTGTGGTCAAAGGCAGCAGCTGCAGGTATATATAGGGCCTGGAGTCCAATACAAACCTAGGAACTTTTTGCTCCATTCTTAAAATAAAATGATTAAATGTACGTTTATACTTATTTATTTATTTATTTATTTTTACCAGTCTACATAGTGGTGAAGTCTGATGGGACAAAGAAGGTTTTATATCTTGAGCTCTTTGAAATATTAGCATCCATGACCATTGCATTTTTTTCTACAAATGTGCTTTACATAAAACAAACATTTATATTGGTCTGAAAAAAGTAGTTTGTACAAAGCATAAAGTCAGAAAGTCAAATTTGGATATTTGGTTTGCCTGTGTGCCCGCCAGTTTCAGCCTGTGCTCTACTTCTTGTTTTATATTTTATATTTTGTCCTGATATGTTTTGTTGGTCTTTATATTTATTGTGTGTCTCTTTCTTAATTTATGTAATCTTCTTTCTTAACTGTCTGTATGTCTCTACACCGGTTTTCTTGCTCTGTAATCACCGCATTACACAATGAAGTTTAAAAAATTAAACATTGGTGCCAGAATTTGCCAGGTAATAATAGCACTGCACCCAAAACAGTAAGGCTCTAACAATAAACAAAATGTTGTAGGATGTTGCATTTTATTAAATGTGTGACTCATAATCAAAATAATTTAACAATACATTTTGTGGGGAAGGTTTTTGAGTGAGGACTTTTTGTATTCAGGTGAAATGAGACAGAAAATTAAGCTAAAATTGGACATTTTTCTGAAGTGTAACCAGCATGTTTTTAGGCTACAAGGTGCCATAAAATCATGACTTATGCTATTGTGTGCCACCCCATAAAAATACAGATATTTTAGCATTTTTGTTACTTAAAAAATAGCCACAATAGCCCAGAATAGCCATAACTGTTACATGCACGGATGTCGATTGAAGACAATATGGCACCAAGGAAACAGGCAGCAAAAGAAGAAGCAGAGAATGGCAGAAAAGTTGGACAATCTTTAAATGAATAGCCACAAGTTACATAAAGGATTTAATGACTGTCCCAGTTTATCTGAACATCTCACTGGAGTGAGGTAGCGTTACTTGATGTGTTTGAATGTCCAGATTTTCTAAAATATTTTACTTAGCAACTTATTTCTTCATAGAAATATAGCAGAGAACCATATTAAGTTGCATAAAAGTAACACTTAAGGTGGTCTTCAGAATTGTAGGTGGGTCTCTTGGTAATCTACAATGTTCATGACTTCACCCTACATAGATTCAAATAAATTCCTAATGTAACACACCTGTTCATGAAGTGTTTAAATATGACAGCGAGCCAGACATCTTTGATTATCATTTACACCTGTGTTTCTCTACATGTCAAATTATTATTTGTGGGAAAATGCCTATTGAGATTCATTCAGACAACGACCACAGCACCAAGGAAGTGACATTCCACAAAACCTTCGCCATGCTTTCAGTGACAACTTTGACTCAACAGCTGCAAAGTGGGCTAATACTTCACACAATAAACACAAGAAGATCCTGGTTGTTATTGCTTCTGCTCCATGGAAATAAAACATGTCACATTACTGTCACAGAGATGTAATATTAATCTTTCCAGTCATTATTTAGTGTTTTCATTCGTCTTGAGAAACTCATTGTGACTGGCACCAACACTAAACAAACATCTGTCTCTCATGTTGGCAGCAGTTGTAAATTTTCCGCCTAAAAAAAAGTAGTTAATCTTTCCTACAGGACACATTTGGCTGTGATGCAATTTATCATCCCCATCAGAATAATTTAGAAGGATTCTCACCAACACTGTTTGATTACCACCTGCAGTAGAAGTGATCAATGAGACAAGACACACAGCCACCGTCAGTCTGCTTGTAAAGATAAAAAGCTAACCCATGTTTCAGAGGTGATGCTTATAATTATGTACGTTATTAGCCGATGAGAATAGCATCTTTAAGTCATGTTTTGGAGCCTTTATAGAGCAGACAGTTCTCCCTGGGGTTATTAATGACCTGAGAACCTGCTACCTCTTAAAAACAGCATAACTGTATAATTAAGATGAAAGCTGTGAGGTGGCTTTAATACTATTTTCTAAGTTTTATGGGGTTTTTTTCTCTTAAATCATTCAGATAATCCATAAATAAACCCTAACGAGGTGAGATCAACTCAAAATAAGACAGAAAAGATGGAAATAAAGCCTTTGAAGGTTTATAAAAATAACAAACTGGAATAATTAAAACTCTCTTTATACATCAATCCATTCATTCACCTCACATCTGCATCTTAATTGAAAAAGCGAGTCCTTTAAGGTACAAATTAGGTTGTAGCTTTGTTACCTGTGATGTTATTTTGTACATTCTACACTTAAAAAAAATACTTAAATCCAGTTGTAATTAAGGTGAAAGTTATAAGGGTTACATTCTACACTAAGGCAGGTTTACTGTGCAACATGTAACATGAAGGTGAAGGTCACATGATCAGCTCCTGTGTCACGTGCAGAGTCAGTTTAACAGCCTGCAGCTCACATGGACATAGGTGTTTTCTGTGTCCTCCTCTTGGTTGATGATGAAAATGCAAGTTGAAACTGATGACGGACGAGATCGCAACGTTTGAAATTGTATTATAAAAATCATACACATTCATCACCTTCACACCTGAGTGGCGTACCTCAGGTCGCTGGAGTCTGGAATTGAACCCACATCTCTGTGTTGCCTGTTGGTGACCCTCATCACTGGATCATCTTCCTGGCAGATCAACCCGAAGAACCACAGCGAGAGAACGAAGATCAGACAGGAAGTGCAGATACTTCATCAGTCTGCAGAGAAAGTTAAGACTGAAATATGTTCACACTGTCAAACTGAGGAGCTCTAATTCTTCCCTGTATGAGAGACTGAGTTTACCTGACAGTCTCCTGACAGCTGAGCTGGTGGACCAGATGTGTCAGGGTCAGAAGGTCATGAGTTCAAAACTAATTTGGATTGTTGTGTGTTTTTTTTCTGTCAGACCCTGGAGGACTGAGCCTAACAAACTACACCGGGATCGGTCTAAATTGAACAAATGTTTTCTCTTTGGCTCTTCTTCAAGGATGAGAAGTACAAGCATTTCATCAACTTTCCTAACATATGTAGTGTCTCATATCACAGCTGCAGAGGAGTTTTTGTCAGCAGCTGCTGATGAAGGTCACACTGATGTTTCAGGAACACTTGGTCACGTGAAACTTATTCAGAGCAGAATAATATTATTCATGTATACATAAACAGAACTTTGGGGTGAAGTCCTGAATCAGACTGAAAAATTAAAGTCCCTTTAAGGCAGTGGTTCCCAACTGGTCCAGGTATGAGGTCCAGATTTCTCTTTAGGCATTAGCTTGAGGTCTCATAGTTAAATATATTCAGCGTTTGGACATGTCATCAAACTAGTTTGCTGTCTCTGTCAAGTAGCTGTGTGTTAGTCACTCACTCTATAGCAGAAAACAGCACTAAAAACTCTGCTGGAAATTTACTATACTTAATGTGTTGAAAGCTCCAACACATTCTCACTCCGACCTTGTTAAATATCGATGTTTGGTCATGGACCTTCCACGTCCAGATACAACCTGAAAGGTACTCTGGGTGTGTTAGA